GTCCGTGCCAGAGGTCAGATGTGGAGGGTTTTAATCTATTCCACTCATTCTGTAACCCTTTCACTGTGAGCTTCAGCAATAGCCTTCCTTGTGCCTCTGGTCCTGCAAGTGCTGTTTTGCTTTGCTGTGTTGGCATGCTCCAAAGAAGGAGGGAAACGATTTTTTCCTATAAGCTGGGAAGAAAGAGGGCTGGAGGAAGTCCTTAGTAAAAGCCTTACGCTGAGTTGAGCAAGGGCAAAGTTGCTGAATTCATGGATGTTGTAATTTCTTTTTGGTCCTCTAGTAATGGCTCTTGTTCAGAGGCAAAAGAAAATAGCTTTTGCCTCCTTTACCTGCCTTTGATCCTGCAGTTTCAAAGCAGAGAGCACCACAAAGGAATATTTGCCCCAAATACATGTTGGGCAGCATGGAAACAGTTAAGTTGGAAGGGAACTAGGTATTGTGGATTCTTCTGCATTATACCTCTCTTCCTCTTGTCTAGTCTGGGAGAGAGGGGTCCCTCTTGCAGCCCAAGATCTCCCGTTTTCAGATGGGGAAGAGCAGGCATTAATAGGCAGGAAGCTTTAACATTTGCACAGCATTCAGAGATGAAAGCTGCCTGCAAGCCCCTACCAGCCTACGGTTAATTGGCGAGTGCTCCAGGTTGGGCTGGAAGCCTGGAAGCGAGTCTGCCAGCCTGGACTGACACATCCCCTTCTGCCAGGCCTGGCTTTGCAGCTGTGCACTTCCAGACAGAGGCAGGCTGGAGGAAGAGCAGGGGAAGCCCAGGTGAGTTCCCGTGCAGTCAGCTACAGCCAGCTTGCCAGGCCAGATTTCTGGCTCCCTGCCTGGATTTCTCCGGCAGTGGCTGGAAGCCACGACTCCATCGATTCCTGTAGCGGCCGCACGATGTAGGAGTTAAACTGGTGCAGCTGTTCCCCAGTAGAGTTATCATTTGAGTGAGGCTGTTTGCAGTGCAGGTTCTTGCTTCTGATGAGAAGCAGCTCTGCTGCCTGGGATGGACAAGACCCTCTTTTTTTTGCCTTCCTCTCTAGGCATTTCGCGTGGCGGAGGAGGAGCTGGGGATCCCAGCATTGTTGGATGCAGAGGATATGGTTGCTCTGAAGGTACCAGACAGGCTGAGCATCCTTACCTATGTTTCCCAGTATTACAACTACTTCCATGGACGGTCTCCTAGTAAGTACCATATTCCCTGGAGGGTTGGGAAAGGATTTATTACATTTCAATATGTTTATTTAGTTAATCATATAGACAGAAACTCACATTTCTGTCAGGGACATTTCCAGTTCTGTGGTCCATCTTGGAGAGTAGAAAGATATGAAAATAGATTTACTGTGACACACACATTGCCTCTTAACAATTTCATGCTTTTCCTTGCCTCCTAACAAGCCTGGAAAAGCAAAATAGATTTCATGGAGGCCTTTTGGTACCAAAATTATTTCACTGGTTGATCAGAACCTCTACACACCAGCCTGAAATAGCACCAGTGCTCTTGGAAGGGTACAGGGCCTTGCCTTGAAAACTACTGCCTTAAAATTTAAAGTACAGTGTAAAATTTCTTATGGTCTAGCCAGACAGGAGCACAGAAGGTTCCTCTCCATGGTCCCCACCTCAGCTTTCCTTTCTTCATCACCTCCACCCCTGTTCCAGTCTTTTCCACACCGGAGGGCTGGTGAGAACATGGAATCTAACAAGGCTGAGCTTGTCTGTGAGGCTGTGCCAATGGAAGTGCATCCATGGTACTGCTTGTACAGCACAGCAGTACTGATAGAAGAAAGGAGAAGAAAATTATCACCTTAACTGGCATAGTCATGATAGCAATTTTGTCAAACATAAAACAGGCCAAGGCATTATATTTATGTACTGGAGAGTTTATCTGGGCTCACAGGAGAGTTACTGTAGACTTGGTTTATATTTGGCTTTAAGTGGATACAAAATGAAATAATAAACCAATTTCACAGGTTCCTCCAGAGGAAACTTTTAAAAGTGGGACATGAATGACTTAACTGGTTAAGGCAAATTTAGATGGAGAAAAGAGATATGTTTGGAAAATGTCTCACATCTCGTAGAGAAAGCACAGCACACTCTGAGAGTTGCCTTTAATGTCTAAGCTCTTCCCCCTTCTCCACCTCTTTACACATTTACTTTTTTTCTCCCTCCACAACTTCTTCCCTCCCCCTCTCCATTTTTTGTTTCTTGTTTTTAAAACCGTTCTGATGAGAGTCAAACAAATTCCATTGTGTTTGTGCCAAGTGGTGAGAATCTGGGTCAGGTTGGGGTATTTGCCTCCTCCCCCCTGCATCTTGCCTACCATGTCATCAAGCACAGCACATTTTTATACTCTCTAGTGTCCCACAAAACACTTTGGTTGCATTCCTGTTGCTGGGGTGAATGTGTGTGTCTGAAAATGAGCCCAGCCAGGAATGTGCCCTCTGACACCAAGCAGTGTCATAGAATCACAGCCATGGCCTGCAAATGGGCTCCAGCAGGACCATGAAATAAGCTGGACACAGGAGGACAGGGAGGGTGAGCAGAAAATGTTTGATTGAGGTGCATTTGCAGAAGAACAGAGCTGAAGCCACCACTTTGGGAATCCAATAAATGGCACAAGTGGGAAGTGAGGGGGCAGCCCCAGTCTGAACTGTTTACTGGATCGGCTGTCACCAGTCCCTGGTCACTGTGGTAGAAGCCCTGGGTGTTTATTTGGATAGTTAGTTCTCCTATGGGAAGACTGCTGGGAACTGGGCTTCCTCTCTGCTCCCTGCCCAGACTCTCTCTGTGTTTACTGACAGGGGTATAATCTCTTTTCAGACGAGTGGCCATTTAATTGGTTGCTCCTAAAGTGAAGCTGTGGCTCAAATATCCCACAAGGAACACAGAGACATCTCATTCAGAGTAGGAAGTGGTGCAAAAACAACATCCCCATGAGACAGTCAGGGGGTCTTGTCTGGAAAACTTTACATGGAGCCTTATTTCCCAGGGTTGTCTCCCAGGGCATGGGGCATCATTCCTTGCTTGACTGAAGTGTGTTGGAGATTCTCTTTTCTCCACTTGTAGTGAGTTTTGAGGGGGTTTATTTCATCTGCAAAGAAAAGAGAATTGGGCATTTGCAGGCTGCTTGTGGCAAGTCTTGGTTTCCACATCAGCATCACCACAGCACCTCCAAGTCTTTGTAGAATTACCCATTTTTTGTGATCATTTCTGCATATGACAAGCCTGTTTGCTCCATGAGAATCCCAAATGTGGACGTGGGTGTTCAGTGAGGGTTCAGGGTGTGTAGGAAGTCTGGAGCATAGCACCTTGAACAAAGCAAACTCACTGTGCTTCAGTTCCTTAGCCATAACATCTACCAGCAGGGCCTGTTTCAGTGGTGCTCACTGCCAGCCAAACTGAGGTCTGGAGTGGCAAACCCAAAGTCCTGTTCATGTCATTGATGGGTGGCGTTTTATGTTTTTCCACTTCTTCATTCCTCCTTCATGGAATTCCCTGAGACAAAAAGAAAATCAGCAGTTTCAGCTGAATGTTGGTACAATTCACTTGTTGCCTCTTGCTCCTCACTCCAGTATGGAACTGCTCATGAAGGAAGTCTGTGCCTCCTTGTGTGCTTTGCATGTTATCCATCAGTTCCCTTTGGATATTCTTATTTTGTAAATTACTCCTAAGCCCTTTTTTCCTTATTTTCCCTTAAAATCTTCCATTCTTCCAATCTTCCAGTTGGAGGCATGGCTGGAATCAAGCGTCCTTCCTCTGAACCTTTGGAGCAGCATCCTGGAAAGAAAACTGTTTCAGAGCCTCCTAAACCAGTGCCACCAAAACTGCCTCCTGCCCACCCACCAGCCAGAGCTAAGCCGAAAGAAACTTCCCCAGTCACCACAGTAAGAAATGTTTTGGGGTGTTCTCTACACCTTAAATCTGTTCAGTGAGATATGGAGTATTAGTCTAGTTCAAGGCTCCTGGTCGTAATGACTTAGTCTCTCAATTCTCTGCTCACTATAAAGGATTTAATCCAGAGGTCTGGTTGCTGCACAGATTGAGGTGGAGTCATTGGAAAGCCATCAGTCAGCTGGGACTCATCTAGTGATGGACATGGGTGTCTTAGGACATGGGTATGCTGTTCCTAGATAGTGGGGATAGAGATTTTTAACAGGTTGTATTATTTTTGCTAGAAAATATTGATTCAATTCTTGGACCCAGTTTCAAAGCAGAGTAGGGATGACAACAGGGTAGAAGAAGAGAAGCCCTTTCCCAGCCAATTCAAATCAGAGACCTTTGCACTTCAGTTTCCTACAGACAGGACACTCTGGCTTTGTGGGAACATGTTCCTCATACTCTGTCCTTCCTTCCACTTCCTATAAGCAAGGAGTTAGAAGGAGAAGGGATTTTCTGGATATCACTTCTCTGTCCTAGTTGATGGCTGTGCATGCCAAACACTTGCCTGCCTAGGAGATTTGTAGCTGTATTTGGGGCCATGATGCTACCTGCTCACCCACTGCTTCTCCCCACAGAAAAGGGTCCTGGCAGAGAGTGGGAATGTCCCCAGCAGCAGCTGTGGGGTCTGTGGGAAACATGTGCACCTGGTGCAGCGCTACTTGGTCGATGGGAAGCTCTACCACAGGAACTGCTTCAGGTACAGCAGCTCTTCATAGTTTCATAATATGTTAAGGGGTTGGAATGGAGCTTAGAGATCATCCAGCCCCAACCCCCTGACCTGGGCAGGGACACCTCCCACCAGAGCAGGTTGCTCAAGGCTTTAGCCAACCTGGCTTTGAACACTGCCAGGGTTGGGGCAGCCACAGCCTCCCTGGGCAACCTGGGACAGTGTCTCACCACCCTCACAAGGAAAACCTTCCTAATATCTAATCTAAATTTCTCCTCTTTCAATTTATCCCCATTACTCCTTGTCCTGTCACTGCAGTCCATAACCAAGAGTCCCTCTCCAGCTTCCCTGGAGCCCCTTCAGCTCCTGGCAGGTTGCTCTGAGGTCTTCACATAACCTTCTCTTCTCCAGGCTGAACAGCCCCAGCTTTTTCAGCCTAGAGGGAAGGTGCTCCAGTTCTCTGATCAGCTTTGTGGCCTCCCCTGGACTTGCTCCAACAGTTCCATGTCCTTCTTATTGGGGGATGTCCTTCTTATGTTGAGTTATGTTCACAGTGGGGGCACAGCCCTGTGGGTCACAGAGGGCCAGCCTGGTTCCTTTGGGACTGGAGGGAGGGTAGTGTGGGTCATTTTTTTCAGAGTGGAGGCAACCTGGGCTTGGTCTTGGCCTGTGCATAAGGGAAACTCACTGCACAGGTCTATTTTCAATCACAACTTTCCTACTTCAGGCTGTGCTATCAGCACCCTCTGTTTTGGTGCCTGCACACAAGGTCTGCTCACTACCAGTGTGGTACCATCACCCTCCCTGTGTGGATGGTGGCGTTGTGCCTGCACTCTAAGGTGTGTGTCAGTGGCCTCCCAGTACTCTGGAGGATGTTTCTGAGACTTCTGTATCTGCAGGTGCAGGCAGTGTTGGAACATTCTTCTCCCTGGAAGTTACAAAGCTGGTCCTGAGCCTGGTACCTTCATCTGTACCAGCCACCAGCAGTCAGAAAATGGCCAGATCTCCAGTCTCCACAGCACTGAGAACAAACCTGAGAGTACCCCAGCCCCTAATGCTGCCAGGGTGTTCCAGAAAGCCACAGAACCCAAGAAACAAGAGCAGGTGTTGAAGAAACCCAGCCAGGAAGGCCTCACTAATTCAACCAAGCCACCTGTTTCATCTTCTGGAAGCTCTGGCTTCAAAAGTGTAAATACTCCGTGGTCCTCTTCAGCTGTAAATAAATCAGACTGCAAAGGTACCTCGTTGGGGAATAAAGCAGATCACCGTGAAGGTACATCAGGGTCTCTCTGGACAAGCACCACCACAAAAACACAGCAAGCACGAGAAAACTTCTTTAGGTCATTAGAGTCCTCTAGCAATAAAACTTCTGACACTCAAAAACCAGTCCTGTCTCCTGATGGCCCTGATAAAACTGCCCCTGCCAGAACCACTGCTGAGGTCAGTCAGAAGGATAAGGCACGTAACCATATTATGCAGGCTCTGTCTGGATCAAACACTTCTTCAAACAGACCAGGAGGACTCAATTCCACGAGCCCCTCAGCATCCATCAGGTAAGTACTATTTCTCTTGCTCTTTTTACTGCCAAGATGTTCCTTGGGATAATTTGGAGAAGTCCCTGCATCTTTCTTCCCTTTGTCCTGACTGCTTTTGTGGCTCAGATTTAAAGGCATGTAGAGGGACACATACAAATATTTGGAACAGAGGCCAATACAAAAAAGTCCATCCTTTCAAAAACACTCACTAGGTTGTTCTTCTTTTGCAGTGGCAAGTTTTCTCCCACCCATTCTCAGAGTCACAGTCCATCTCCAAAAGCAGAGTCCAGCAAAACAGGGTCCACAGCTGTAAAGCAGGAAAAGATTACAGACCCTCTGCCCAAGAACCAGGCTGCCAGCAAACCTGACTCTGTGCACAAGCCAGAGTCAAAAGGCACCAAAGGTGAGGATGAGTGATCTGCACACAACTCTGCCTCGACATAACATGCCAACTTGATGCCTTTCTCTTGGACCAGTACAACAAATGTGTCCATGACTCCTGTACTTTCTGTCTGTACCACCACATAAGGGTTTTCTGAGTTCTGGGGTTCAACACACCTCCACTTATCCCTGTGCAATTGCTCCCTCTAGCATGGGGAGTTTTGCTACTCTGGGGAACTCCAGGTGTTTGAAGTTGTACTTGCTGTCATCAAACACTAGTATTATGGTGGTTTTCAGAGGCTTAGGTAGACATTCCCTGATGGGACACCTTGCCAGAACTTCAGGATGATTTTGTGATTGCAGTTGGGGCTCACCCAGCCTCCTTGTCTGGTTTGAACTAAGCTTCCACTGTGATGACTGAGCAGTCAGCCAAGGGATTATGTTTTGGGGGTTCCCAGAGTCTCAGCCCCTTCCAGATGCCCTGTCCTTTGGGCTAGAAGCAGTGTCTGTCTGCAGTTTGCTGTGACTTTGTGGGTTTTCTGTATCTCCCCCTTCCTGCCCCATCCTTTGGTCTCTAAGTTGTGTTGCTGTTGAATGTGCTTCTTCATTCACTCTGTGGCCGTGTAGGTTTTAAAGCATTTGAGCTGAAAGGCAGAAAATGCCACCAAGATTATTTACACTATATTGTATTTGACTCTGTCCATGTTAAACTTGTTGAACTGGTGCTGGTTTGCTGTAGTAACATCATAGTATCTGCCCCAGTGCATGGCTTATCTCCTAAGATCCTCTCAAGACTCAAATCTGGCTTGTTTCTTTTTATTGGATCTGATATTATCTTGCTATGTTCCTTTCTTTAGGAAGTACAAATGTTGGTGAAGACAAGTCTGAGAGCCCAGCAGACTGGAGATCTCTGTTGAAACCTGTAGCCAACAAGTGAGTGTCTTGGAGCTGGTGGGTCTCCATGACAAGTGAATGGGGATGTCCATGCTTGCTCCTGTGTTTGTGCTGCAGGTCTGTGTGCACATAGGAGGGAAGAGCTCCTGTGTTTTAATGCTTCTGCTTTCATCAGTTTGATGGAAAAGACAAAGGCTTTCATTTCTGGGGAGGGAAAGCATATTTCAAATTGCTGGACTCTGCTTAGAAAAGTGTGCCCATCCCAGATGGATATCCAGCCCAGGTTGTCCAGAACTCTTCCTGTGAATCATTCTGCAAGAGGCATGGTTTCCTACCTTTGTCTTTCTCTTTGCAGAGACCAAGGTGGCTCTAAGAAACCTACTGATAACTCCCAGGTGGGAACAGGGAGCCCAGCACACAAGGAGACAAAGCCAAGTTCATTAGTTGTCCCACCAGCAAACCAGGACTCTGGTATGAAGAGTAAAAGCTTTGCCTTCTGTTTGCTCATCAGACAGGAGACAGGCATTAGTGCTGTGAGGAACATGGTGGTGGAGATTGTGCCTTGCTGTCAGGGATCTTTGCTTTCTGCACCTGTTTTGGGCCTGTGGTGCCTTTGTTTGAAGAGCCATCCATCCCCAAGGAGAGGGACTTGGTCTTCACAGGGTGCCTTTCTTCTGCAAGACAGCCAGCAAGATTTCACTTACTCTGTCTTGCATGATTGTGTAATGGTGAGAAATCTTGGTGATGGTTCCCAACTGTTTATTCTCTTCCCAGCTGTTTATTCTCCTCTTCTCCTTGTAATCAATGTGTTTTCCCTGTTTACTTTGGGCTTGTGCCCTTCATTTATCATCAAGAGAGGAGAACTAGGACTAGGAATGGAGGTGGCTAGTGGTGAGTGCTAGAGAGATTGGGCAGTAAAGGGATTTTTATGAGATGAGGGTTGAAATTTCTTACCCAAAACCTGTCTGTTGTTCTTAATCCAGCTTCATCTGGTGGCTTCAGGAAGAAGCTGTTGATCCCCAGCTCAGATCTTATCAGGAGCTGTAAGAATTCAGAGCAAGACTGGGAAAATCCTGGGGGCTCTACCAAGAAAGAGAAAGATGGCAACCAGTTGAAGATAAATACTGACACAGGTAAGGTCTCTTCTGCCTACTGAAAGGCATGGTCTCCTCTGCACTGTTGGGGAACACCCTGAATGGTCCTTGAGTTTTCTGTGGTTAATCCTGTGGCTGTTGTCATGGGGGAAGTATCTGTGTCATTAATTTTTATTAGCCAGTTTGGCCTAAGCAGGAACCAGCCAGGCCAGACAATTCAGTGGGAAAGGAGGAAATTAAAGTAGGAATTTGTCCAGGTCACTGTCCTGTCATTCTTTAGACTGAAGACTATGAAGAAGACCATCTCCTAATTCGGGGAACTGGGATCTAGTTGATGTCTCTGTTCCTCTTCAGTTGAGTGGCTTTGGGAAATAAAAGGAATGCAGAGAACTGTCAGCCAGAGACTCCATCTGGCAGGAGCCACAGTAGCAGGAGCCAAGGCTGCTGTTTCTTGCACTTTCAGAGATGTCCTGACAAGTTCTGACCAGTTTGTCCCTACTCTTAATCCGGTTTCTTACTCCTGTATGTTCAGCCACAGCTTTACTGTGTACCTTTCCTCCATGACCCAGTTGTCCTTGCTGTGGCATATCCCAGCACGATGCAAATGAAATTTTCAGTAACTCATCTGATGTTTGCTGCTGCTCTGTTTGCTCAGCTTCTTGGTTCTCCCCTTTTCTTGCCCTGTCTAGCCATGTCTTATCTGCCTGGACTAGAAGATCCTCACAGCAGAGCTCAGCCCTGACTCAGAGCAAGCAGGATGGGTTCCAATGGCTCAGTGGCCTCATGCTGCATTGTTTGTTAGCTGGTTGCAGCATTGTCCTTACCCGGCACCTCTAACAGCTACAAAACATTCAAACTCCAGTTGTGTTGTCCTTTCTAAAAGTTTAGTGTGCCTCCTTTGCATTACTTTCCCAAAACTTTCCATCTCCTTTTCCCTCAGACTCAGCCACAAGGTTCAGCATTAGTCTCTCCCAGGAAGTGAGCTGTTAAGATAAGGGAGGCCACGTTTATATCCCTCTTTCTAAAGCTTAATGATTGCTGTTGGGGAGTGCCACTACCAGAAACTTTCCCAGCAGTCTCTCCCCACTTTTCACCCATGTCCAAGTCTGCCATGTGAAAGGTGTTTTCCTGTTGCTGTCTCTGGGCAGTCTGTGCACTGAGGACAGGCTTGTTGCTCCTCTGTGTATGTGTTTACCTCAGCACTCAGAGAACAGTCAGCTACTGTTCCTGCCCTTGGTCCTGTGTGTTGTGTGGGGCTGTGGATGGTGAGTGTTTCTGTAGATCATTTGTTTTCTTTGGCACAGGTAATGTTTTTCTGTTGAGAAAGGAGGCTCCAGGGTTTTCTTGCCAACTGTCCTACTTCCAGTTTGCTGGCAAGCAGCCAGCCCATCCTGTGTCTGTCAGGCCGGAACTTGAGGATATCAGGGGATATCAGACCCTGAGCTGGTCAGAGAGTGTCGTTTTACTACCTGATCCGCTCTAGTGACCTTGGCCTTCTCACCATCAGTGGTGCAGCTTTCTGCCTTGGTTGGAGGTGCTGCAGAGGTCACTCAGAAGGAGCCTGGAGATGCAGGGCTGAGCTGGGGGAGGGAGGAAATGATCAGGTAGACAGCTCGTGGCAGGCCAGGTCCCTCTTGGGGGAACCTTTAAGAGAAGTGCAAGTTGCAGGTAGTGTACAGGGCAGAAAACCAGCAGCATCCAGAGGGAAGAGATCCCTGATGGAGGCAGTGCAGGGACAACACAGCTGATTGCCACATCCAGCACCTTCTCCTTTTGCAGTCCTCCTAGAAAGCACAGTAGGGCAAGGGCTGGGCAATTGGAGAACTGTCCTTGAGCTCTTCCTCAATTGTCAGAGACTCTCATGAGGCTCCTTTAGTCTGTCTGTCCTGTCTTTCTTCTTGTGTGTGCTGAACCTGCACTGCTGCTGCCTTTCTTACAGCCATGTGCTTTTGATACTAGAGTTTTCCTTCCTTATCACATCATCCACGTACACCTCTGTTCTCTCTCTGTGGTAATTATCCAGCCCAGCCCCTCGGGTATCCAAATACCTCACACTATTCTGTAGTTATCCTTGCAGCACAGTTGGGCAGAGGAAGCTGAAGCACAGTGGAACAAATACACATTGCTTAAGGATTGATTTTAATAGGTGTCCAGGGCCTAAATAATGCTGTGTAGCAGGGCCTAGGGGACTTCTCACCTAGGAAGTGTTTTGTGGGAGGAATTGAACCTTAGTTTCATGAGACCTATGTTGAGGTCCCCTAGACCATCTTTGTTTCATCAGTATTTACTGATACTTCTTTGTACAAGAGCACCAGAGGGATGTTTTTAAGTATGTCTTGGTGTTTCCTGTGAAGGTAAACTAGCCTTTCTGTGCTATACTTTGGAAGCTTAATAAGTGGTGGCTTTCACCACAATAAATATCTTTGGGTTATAACAAGATAGTGAGTGAACATGGAAGTCAATATTCTCGGGTGGAAGCTCCAAAGTCACACCTGAGTTAGCTGACTGTCTGTGCCCTGGAGATGAAAGCAGCACCCTGTGACTGGGTTGTGCTCTGGTGTGGTGTAGGCAACGTCCCACACCATAAAATTATTTAAAAGTTGTTGTGGTGTTCTTTGTTAATTTTTTTTCTTCCTTCTAGTTCTAAACCTTGATCTGAAAAGCAAATATGTGTCTCCCGTGGTGTCCCCGACCAAGGTATGGCTGGAAACCAGGTGTAAGGGGACCAAGCTGGGGTTGTTGAGTATCCTGCTGGAGTGCTTGCCCAGATTTATGTTTGTCTTATTGGGAGGGTTTATCTGAATTCCCAGTTAAAGGGTGAAAAGCTTTGGGGCAGAGACAAGGTGGAGAGGCTGCTGGTTATCACCCATGCATGGACACAATAGCAGCTGGAATGAGACACAGCCAAACAAAATTATGGTAGACATTGTGTCCCTCAGCAAAAGAGGGAGAATGTCTGTGGACTGACAAGTGTGGGTAGAGTTATCACCCACAGCAAATGTATCACAGGTCTGTAGTGTTGCAGTGGCCATTGCTCTGTGGTGAGCAGACAGCTCTTCAGCTCTGCTGACTTGGCCCTTCCAGGACGTGGATCTGCAGTTGGGCTCCTTAAGCCCTTTCCCATCTCTGGGGCTGTGATCTCAGCAGGCAGTCTGAGGGCACTGAGCTGTATTTGGTCCTGCATTTATTTTCCTAGCTGCACCCAGACTACCTTCCTGAGGAGGAAATCCAGAAGAAAGTTCGTGGCATTGAGAAGCAGCTGGATGAGCTGGAGTTGAAAGGAGTGGATCTGGAGAAGCAGCTGCGTGCCTGCGAGGGAGGTAAAGGAGACCACGTGCCAGCTCTGTTATGGTGGGGAGGTGTGAGGCTCATGTCCTACCCCCGGGCATTCTTGGCTCCATTTTGAGGAGCTCATGCTACACGTGAGGCACCAGGTTGCCAAAGGTACCTGGTATAGAAAGATAGAGCCCTGGGAATTTTGAACTTTCACTGGCTGTTTCATAGCCTACTGTTCGAGCAAGGTTATGTGTTAATTTGGTTGAGGATTGGAGAGCTTTGGGAGTGGAAGGCCACTGTTAATGTGGCTTTTGAATCCCAAGCCAGGCTGGCCATCCTGGCTGAATCCAATTTCCCAGGGCTTAGTGGGTTCATGCAGAAGGGCAGAGTTGAGGCAGCCACATGGAAGATGAGCTGGGTGTCCTGTAGCAGAGCATCTGTGAGCAGCTTCCTTGAATCTGCAGGGTGTGACCTGCATCCCTTGTACCCAGGAGTTCCAAAGGTCATCTGTTTTCACTTGAGGTTGCCTGTGGCTCATATAAGTCATCCTAGGCTCTCCCTCAAGAGTTTGTGTGTGTAAGTCAGGGGGACTGAGCTGAGCAGCCTCTGAAGGAGTCTTGCCCTTTGTCTGCTTTGCAGATGAATCCGAGGATGCTCTTATGGTGGATTGGTTCAAACTGATCCATGAGAAACAGCTGCTGCTCAGACAGGAGTCAGAGCTGATGTACAAGTGAGTACAACCAGAAATTCACCCATCTGCTTGTGTGCAGTGTGAGCAGTGAGCAGTGAAGGAGGGGGAGTGTGGCAACCCAAAATCATGATGTGCCAGTTGGTGGGATGAGGAGGGTTGAGGATGTCTATGGGAGAACTGCCAGCATCCTGATGTATTAGCTGATGGTCTGTGATGAGCTTGTGGGGAGGGAAACTTCACAAATGTGATGCAGGAAGATTTCCCCTGACCCCCCAGCCCCTGCCCAGGTGGTGGGCAACACAGAGATGAGGCTGTAGCATGATATGAGAATGGTTCAGCCCTGGGGCATGGCAGGGCAGTGTGCATCACTTGTGTGGTTCCTTCCAGGATGAAGCAGCAGGAGCTGGAGGAGCAGCAGTGGAATATTGAGATGGAGCTACGACACCTCATGAGCAAGTCAGGTAAGGACCAGCTACACTGTGAGTCCTGCTGGCCCCAGGCTGTGTGCAGCCTCCAGTTTATGTGCCAGCCCTGGGATGCAGGGGCACTGCAGGGTGTCTCCTGACTGTCAGGCTGTCAGGTGCAGACTCCCTGTAACATCCAACCCACCTCAGCCTTCTGGGGGGGTGTGAGATGTGTCCCTCAGTGTGAGGATTTGTGCCTGTGAGAGAGACTTGCTGGAGCAGGGTGGAGGCAGGAGGCACAGTGAGGAGGTATTACCTGTAGCTGTGAGATGAGCTTCTCTTGTCTTGTGCAGAGGAACTGAAGACCCCCAGGGAGAAGGAGCGCGAGAAGGAGCTGCTGGAGTCATACCTAAACACGGTTAATGATCGGAATAGTATTGTGGAGTGCCTGGATGAGGACAGACTCAGGTGAGGGCCCTCAGATGGTGGGAAATAAGCCAACACCAAGGATGATTTCCATTATATTTCCACTGCTGTCCAGGCTGTAGGGGTGGATGAGTGGCTGTAGTCCAGCCTTCTGCTCCATAAGAAGTGGGTGGTCACCTGTCACCAACCATTTTGTCCCAAATGCTGCTCTCTTTGCATTTGTGGCAGCTGTTGGAAACAGATCAGGATTGCAGCCATGTTCAATGCTCTCTGAAGCTAGTGCTGCTGTGAGAACAAGAGCTGTGAAAATGTAGAAGGGAGGGGAAGAGAGGGAGAGGCTGGAGGCAGTATGGGAGCTGCAGGAGGACTCTAGGAACATGAAGCCAGGAATGTGTTCATCTGCTTCAACAAGTGAAAGAACAACTGTAGCCAAGAGTTGGATCCTTCCCAAGTTCAAAGGAAGACTGCTGTGTCAAGTAGCTGGATTCATGCCTCTTGATGCTGAGAGCAGCCTCTGTTTCTTGACCTCAGGGCACCAAGTCCAGCTTGTGGATTCTAGTAATGCCCAGGCCCAGGGTGGTGATGGCAGCATGCTTGTCCCCCATTGCAGTGAGCACCTCCACAGCACCCTGAGCTGCCATTGTCTCAGCCTTCATTCATCTCCTTGGGTGTGGTGGTGGTGTCTCACCACTCTGTGAACTCAGATGATTCATAGGCTAGCTGGGAGAAGGGCCAAGGTCTGGAAACCCCCACACAGGCCTATGCTTTCAAGGGAACCAGATGGAATTTGCTAATGACTAGGACTCCTCTAATCGTTGGGTTTTTCCTGCACCCAGCTCAAGGTCTGCTATGGAGGTTGGTCATTTCTGGGGGAATAACAGCAGGTTTTGGTGTCTACCACCTTGTCATGAACATGGCAAAGTTCTCTCATACCATGCTGTTCCATTACAGAGAGCAGGAGGAGGACCAGATGTTGGCAGACATGATCCAGAAGTTGGGTAAGGGCCCTTTCTACTCTTACAGAGCACTGGGGGGCACTGGGGCTGTGGATCTCAACCTGCTCTGTGTCTGCTCCCTGTCCTGCAGATGGGTCTTTGGAGAGCCAGGAACCAGAGAAGAAGAAGAACAAGTTCCGCTTGACCAAAATATGGAAGCAGAAAAATAAGACTAAAGCTCAGGAGTGATGTTCCTTTGCCCAGCAGCCCAGAGATGCCCATCAAAGGTGTGGTCCTTCCTCAGTGCTGCTTTCCTGGAGTTGTGCAGGACTGTGACAAGGTTCCTCTGCTCCCTGACATGGAGATTGCAGGTTTGCAGACCAAAGGGACAGTGTGAATCCCCTCTGGCCCTGGTATGGGCCCAAGGATACCTTTCCCAGCAGATGGACTTGTAAGACTGTTTTCCTTCTTTGGCTCTAGCTCAGAGCAAACTTCAGCCTCGCTGGCAGCTCAGGAGGGCAGAGCTGAGTTTGCCCATCCAGTGCTCAGGCCATTACAGTCCTGAATGCAGGAGCATGGCCCTGCATGGCACCCACTGTGCCCCACTGCTGTCACCCAGGGCTGCACCCAGGACGCTGTGCCAGTCTGTGCAAGGGCCACTGTCCCTCATTTACTCCCTCCCTGTGTGTGCTGCGGCTCTTTGGCTGGGATCAGAGAGCAGGGAGGGAGGTGCTATGGGGCAAGAGGGATTGAGGGTCTCCCCCTTACCACACCAGTGCAAACTGGTGTGTCCCACAGCTGAGGGGGAGCAGAGAGCAGAACCACCTCTGTGTCTGTGGGGTGGAATGTCCTAGACCCAGAGCAGTTTCAGCAATAGTGATTTGTTTCCAGACCTCCTTTTGGGAGTTGCTGTAGGCTGATTTCTCAAAGCCATGAGGGGTTGCTCACTGCTTCATTCCTTCTGTGGGGGAGATTTATAGCTTCCATATTTCTCTGACTGCACAGTGCAGCAGAGTTTTCATTGTCTGTGACCCATCCTGATGACAATTAACAGAACTCTTCTTTTAATAACCTGGTGCTAACTGAGAGCAGAAGGGAATTAATGAGTTTGCCTCACCTGAGGGTGAGGTACTGCATGGGACCAGTATTTCAGTCCCTGAGGCTCCATCCCTGGACAGTCAGCGCCCTCAAGGGGTGCTGCAGCTCAGCCTTGGTGAGAACAGGAGTGCAGGAGCAGGTCCTGGGCTGTTGGCAGTGAGTCTTGCTACTCTTCCCTCTGCCCAGTGCCTGAAGCCAGACACCTGCCTTGTGTGACATCCTCTCTTCCCAGTCAGCCTGGGCAGCAGAGCTGGAGACGGGGAAAAATCAGATTCATTCATGATGCCTCTAGTTCTGCTGTGCGTGGACTTCCCTCCTCCCTCCAAGCCAAGTCCTTTGAAGTTTCTCCGGGTCCTGCTCCCCAACAGGGCCAGGGATTTTGCAGGAGGAGGTTTGTTCCCGCTGTGACAGTGGTGGGGAGAGGCGATGCGTCCCTTTCCCACGAGGTGGCACTGGGACTCTCCCTCCCAGGCAGGCATGTGCTGGGGTGGGACCCAGTGCCCGAGGGGGTTCCTGATGCCCACGGTGAGTGCCATGTATGTACAAGTGGTGGGACACCCTGTCCCTACATATGCTTTTGCCCAATAAAGAATTGCTGGAGCAAGTCTCAGTGTCCCAGTGCGAGTTTGGGATGCTGGGTGTGTGCTGCCCTGGTCACTGTGAGTGCTGACAGTCCTTATCCAGAGCTTGGAGTGCCTGTGATGGAGCAGCTGCCCTGCCCAGAGCTCGCAGGCCAACTGCATATGCTGGGAGAGCAGCAGTACCGAGGAGTTTCTCACTGATTTTGTTTAGGTGTCTAACTCCCCCCCCCAGCTCCCAGGTAAGTTCATTTCTCCCCTTGCTGCTTTAGGTCCCAAAGCCTGTGGGGTCCCAGCCTAGCCAGCAGGCTGGGGGAGAGATGAGAGGCAGAGCTGCTTCTGCCCGAGCTGTACTGTGGCATCAGTGACCTGAATGGTGGAATTGTGGTGTCATCAGGTAGAACACTGATAGAAGGACTGTCACTACACTCTTGGCTCTGTGTTGCCCTGTGCTCACCCAGAGGGGAAGACAAGCTGGGCTGGGGAGATGTGCTGACCACAGGGACTGGCATGCTGTGCCTTGCCATCCTGGGCTGCTTGTCGGGAAGCTCTTTCTGTCTGTGTGTAAACATGAGGGGAGGGAGGAGAGCCCTTCTTTCAGATCTGGGCATTAGCAGCAAATCCCCAGAACTAAACCTGCCTTTGTGGGCTGCCAGCTGAGAGGGAGGGAGCTGCAACCACCTCTGCTGAAGGAGAGAAATACCCTTCCTGATGAACAGGTCCCTTACTACAGCTATCCCAGGCTGTTGTTATTGCTGGGCTTTCATCTTTTCCAGCTCTGATTCTCCAGCCTTGGGAAGTTTAGTCTGTAGGGATTTGGAGGGTGGCAGCATCATCCAAACTCATCCAATCCTTTTCCAGGAGACACAGGGCAGCTAACCTTTGCCTGTCTTGAAGGCAGGCAGAAAATGGGTCTATGCAGAAATGTGATCATGAGGTGCTTAAACAACAGCCCCAGGGCCCTGTGGTGGCAGTGGTCGGACCTGCTGTAGGGTTTGCTTTGCAAGAAGGCCAACTGCTGCCAGGACTCAGGTAGTCATACGTCCCTACCTGCCTCCAAGGGGGTTTGAAGGGAAAACTCTGCTGCTTCTCCCATTTGGAGTCTGTTGGAGAGGGTAAGCATGATCTAGGGGATATGAGGCTCACTTGGAAATGCTGTGTGGGTTTAAAAGATCTAAGTGGTCTTTAGAGAAATACTGAGAATGGGAGTGGAGACAGAGCCCCATCCTGCCTCGCTGCACCATTGGGAATGGGAGGTGATGGACTGGTGTGAGACTGAAAGCAAGACTGACCTCAATTATTCTCCAGCCAAAGATGAATAGAGAAATAGTGGAGCAGTGATCCAAATGCATCCTTCCCAGAGTCCCAGGCTCTTGTCTGTATTGATGGAATGCTGTCTGGTCATGGCCAGGGTCAACCAGTATCTACTGCAGCCCCACAGCTCCTGCACACCCTGACAACTGCTGATGGTAAGCATGAGGACAACCCAGCTTGTTCCTCCTTCTCTACCTTGAATTTGGGACTCAAAGGATTTGCATTTCCACCATTCCCCTAATCCAGTGCTGAAACTAGCCCTAGAAGAACTAAGCTGTTGGCTAAGGTGGAGAAAGGGAATGGCTTTTCTCCAGCTGGCTGCTTTTGGCTGAGCTGATTCCCCTGCCTGACCCTCGTTTGCTCTCCCAGCACAAGCAGCTTTGCTCACCCCATGGGAGTGCTCCAGGAGGCAAAGCAAGAAGATTTGGCCTTGGGATTGAGCAGGGAGGGAGGGAGACAGCTCTCAGCTGCCTCTCCATAGCGGTCACTCCTGAGTAATTAGGCAATCCAGGCACCCTCCTGTAACCAAACTCGAATCAAATTCCTCTCTATTCTCCGTGAGAAAGGACTGTTTGTGCTCTGCTCCAGCCCCATCAGACACCAAGGCCCGAGGTCAGGCTGGTGGGGGGTTGACAGATACATTGCTGTGTGCATGTGGGTATCTGCATTTTGGAGATGACTGAGAGCTTAATTACTCTTCTAGGTCAGCTGCTCCACTTCCAAAATGGTTTTAAGGGGGCTGAGCTTCCTGCTCATTTCCTGATGGCCTCCAGTTGGCTTCATGGCTTCGCCAGCTCCTGGATACCTGGAGTGCTGCTGCTGCTTTATTTTGTAGCTGAAGAGGAGTGTGGGGCTGGACAGAGCTGGGGGACTGCACCTTTGAGCCTCTGCCATTTAGGGGGCTCTGGGGGGTTCTTCTTCAGGCTTGGGGTGCTGGGGAGGCTGCTGTCTGCTCTGGTGCTTCCAGGCTTGCAGATGAAGCTGTGATTAGACTCTGTGTGTGTGTGTGTGTGTGTGGTTGTGGGATGGGGTCTGCCGTTTTCTTTAATTACAATCTCCGAGGTAATTTCTGACGCATCATTAACAGTTCTGAGTAAACAAGGGGAATTCTCCAAATTATTCGCCATGAGCACAAAGGGAAATTGGCTTTCATCATCTCCCTCTTCATCCAAGGAAGAAGCTGATCTGCAGTAGGCACGGGGAGGAAGGGAGTGTTGTGGCTGCCCTCAGATGCCTCAAGTCAGCTTGAGAAAGAGCAGCAACCCATCCAGCTGACTGAGAGGCCAACTCTGCCTACAGCTTTTCATCCCCACTGCTGAGTAAAGTGGCTGGGGCCTGTCACCATTGCAACTGTACTGCAAAGTGCCTCTTACCCAGAAGAGCTTTAGGTGCTGCTTTTGAGTGTTCACCTCCCATTTCTGCCTGGATGAATTGAAACCAGAGCTGCTCAGGAGATGGGACAGGCCAAAGGCATTCTCAAGGCTTGGCTGTTGGGTTGAGGGGTAATTCCTGAGATCAATGTGGGCTTGGGAAGGGAAAGAAGGAGCACTGATATGGAAAGAGT